TGCATGAAGCATAAAATAGCTTTTAAAGAGACATACTTAAAAGTGTAACAGGACCCTTCCTCAGAGATTTGAGGTTTTTGAATTATGTCAAGGGAAAGTAATGCCGTTTCTATTGATATGCTCACCTCCCCCACAGATTTCTCTTTTAGCTTTTAAATGACAGGTTATTAAGACGGTGTGTTTGCATTCTTTAAAATATGAATTACTGAGACAGCCGGGCAGTGGTGGCACATGCCTTTAATCCTAGCACCTGGGAAGTAGAGGCAGGCAGATCATTGTGAGTTCAAGGTCAGCCTGGTCTACAGAGCAAGACCAGGACAGCCAAGGCTACACAAAGAAATTGTCTTGGTTGGAAAAACCAACACACCATCTTGTTGAGGCAGAACTAAGGCACCTTTTCAACCCCCACACCCCTGTGTCTAGACTGAGCAAGATATCTCTCCATAGAGAATGGGCTTCACTAAGTCAGTTTGTGCATTAGTGTTAGACCTTGAACCCACTGCCAGTGGCCTCATATGTTGTCCCAGTCACACCATTGTCACCTATATTAAGGCAGTGTAGCTCGGCCATGTGCAGGTTCCCTGTTTGTCAGATGTGAGTCAGTGATCTCTCACTAGCTCAGGTCAGCTGATTCTGTGGGTTTCCCCATCATGATCTTGACTCCTTTGTTCATATTAACCCTCCTCCCTCACTTTGATTGTACTCCGGGAGCTTGGCCCATTGGTTAGTTGTGGATTTCTGCATCTGCTTCCATCTGTTTCTGGAAGAGGGTTTCTAACAGTGGACTTCCTATGGGAGGCCTTACCCTCTCTGAGGAGCAGATGGGAGGTGTGGGGGTGGGAGTGGGGAGAGTGGGAGGGCACGAGGGAGGGAACTGGGATTGGAATGTATAAAAACAAAAACTTCTTAAAAAAAAAAAGGAAAAACCAACCAACCAACACACACACACACACACACACACACACACACACACTCGTGCGCGAATTGAGACAAATAACATTATAATTTATTAGTCTTTCTTCCTCTTTCCCCCTCTCTCTCTCCTCCCCCTCCTCTTGGTTTTCCTTCTTTTTGAGAACAGGTTCTTTAGGTAGTTTAGACTATTGTAATCTTGCAGTCTTCCTGCCTTCTGAGAGCTGAGATTGCAGTCTTCCTGCCTTCTGAGAGCTGAGATTTTAGGCCTATGTTACCACTCTCTGCTTTCCAGTCCTTAAGATATGAGGGTCACAGTGAAAATAAACATTTGTGTCATAATTCCACTCTATTGGGCTACATCAGGAAATGAAAGGGACTGGGGAAATTGGTTTCAAGTTTTTTTTCTTTCTTCCTTAACACCAGTCACAGGGCTGTGGGCTAAAGACTTTCCTAAGGGAGAAGCTGTTAATTTAGTCTTCGTGCGTTCGTTTAAGACAAGATCTCACTAGGTAGTGTTGGCTGTCCTGAAACACCCTATGTAGACCAGGCTGTTTTTGAACTCATAGAGATCTACTTGCCTCTTACTCCAGAGTATTGGGACTACAGGGGTGTGCTTCTCCACTCTGCAAAAACTTAGACTCTTAAAGGTCACCTATGCATTGTCTGGAATACAGCTCTATTTTCTCTATCTTCCAGTAGCTATCTCTCAAATTCTTAGAGTGAAATTTTGTTCTAATTTTTTTTCTAACACAAATGCTGCAAAAGGTTGCAGCATGAGTAGGATCATAAGCTGAATTTTTGGCTAATTATTGTTTCTCATTGTTTAAGACCAGATACACTTTTAATCCCAGCATATGGAAGACAGAGGCAGCTGGAGAGTTCAAGACCAACCTGGTCTACATCGTGAGCTCCAGGACAACTAGGCTATATGGAGAGATCCTGTCTCAAACAAACATACAAACAAACAGAAAAAGAAAAAAAGTCTCCCATTTTGTTTCCTTCCCCTTGGAAAAAAATTATTAGTTTCCTTCAAAGTTATGCAACAAGAAAGTTTATTACAGAAGTATATTTGTATAGTTCATGGAAACCCCACACTCCTCAGCTTTTGTATTGTGACTGTACCTAAATATCCCATATCTCCCTTCAAGTCACATATGGTGAACTGAATATTAAGAAAATATCTTCACGAAGCATACTATTCATTTAAAATTTAATTCCTTTTTACTCGATAACACTGGGTATTTTCTTTTCAGGAGTGATAGAGTCAAAATTGTCTTTCCCATGTGCTTATTTAACTTACCAGAGCTTATATACAGCACATAAACGCCCCTCCCCCATCCTTTCCCTTGTCACTACTCTTTCCTTAAGAAAAATCACATCTTCCCCTTGTTTGTTTGTCCTGTCTGCTCTTTTCCTCAGGCCAGCTCACGTACTTCTTGAGTTGAAGGCAGTGTACTCCTTGTTTCACATATTCTAGGCTGGCCTCAAAGTCGCTGTGTGGCAGAGACTGGCCTTAAACTCCCGATTCTTCTGCCTCCGCCTCCCAAGTGCCGGGATTACAGGCATGAGTCCACTACCTACACCCAGCTGAAGATTATATTTTAAAGACTTTAAAAATAGACACTCCTAATCTGGACTGAAATAAAGTATTTTGTAAATTAGTGAATCAACAAAAGTTGATAAACTTTCCAAGTACTCACTGTGAAATTGTCTATACAAGCTCAAAAAGGATGGAGGGAGGAGGGGGAGAGGAAGAAGAAGAGGAGAGGAGAGGAGGAAGATGAAGAAGAGGAGGATCCATAGAGGTAGTAAGCATCCAGGAGAAAACTTAAATACATTCCTAGTTACATTCAAAAAATTCAAGTGAAATGAACTCAACAGTGTTGGACAGGATCCCACTGGTGGCTGTGCCCTAGTGACTGTTTTCCTGAAGCTGCTGGCCTACTGATTTTTACTTCATGTTGTCAAGGTCACTTGCTTGCAATCCCTAATAAAGCTATTTTTGGCTACTTATGATTAAATTTTTGATTAGACTTTTTCTTTTTGCATATCTTGCCATATAGCTCCAACAAATTTTGATCCCTGGGATGGCTTTCAAAATTTGGACTTCCTGTGTTACTTTGCCTGCCTTCTAGTATGAGTTCCTATTAGTAGTTGAAAGGCAGGGATGGTATCTTGTGACCCACTGAAAGTGGATCCGTCTAAAATGTTATTAAGATCTTGTTTACTTCTAAGGTTATGCAAACTTGCCCCAAAGGAAGCTATGGGATCTTGTCCTCCAGTCTGAGTAAGAAAGCTTTACGGGGGTGCCTGACTAGCTTCCAACACCACTGTGATAGAGCCCTTAGATCCAGGAGTCCGTTGCCGGAATTGCCTGTCTGTAAATGTAACTTTGTGCTTAGCACAGAGGAACTGTGGTCTGGGTTTATTTCTGCAGGACCTTATGCAGTTGTGGGCTGCCTCACTTAAATACTTTTTTTTAGTAGGACTGATTTTCTTTGGGGAGGTGTTCTTCTGCAATTACTTTTTTGGGAAAAGTCACTTTCTCTCCTGTGGACATTTTCTAGTTTTGAATTATTTATCAACTGACATTCCATGAAGAAAGGCTTGGGAGGACCAGCGCATATGAGTTTGGGAGAAGCTTCGTGGGTCTGACCTGAGGGCTTTTGCTCTGTGGTTACTATTTGTTATAGTGTCTTCTTCTCTGGGGTCATTTACAACCCTAAAAACACCCCCTCTCCCCGTGTATCCTTTTCAACAATTCTTACATGTAAAATGTGAGTCTGAGAAGGAAGAAATGGGTAGATAATAGAAGCAAGCCCTTGTAGGATCGTTTGATCTGCTTTGACTTTTTGAGACAAGGTCACGAGTTATAGCACAGGTCAGCCTCCAGCTCAAGGCAACTCTTTTGCCTTAGCTGCTGAGTGCTTGCATTGTAGACCTTGGCCACCATGTCTGCCTGCTTGAAGAATCTTTGGCTTCCAAGCAGTGTGAGGGTGGGAAGGTGTGTCACAAATCAAAGAGGAAAAGTGAGATTGTGTGGTGAGCATAATGAAGGAAGCATAAGGGAACCCTGGAGAGGGGGAATGATCTCTAGGTGATGATTGATGGACCAAAGAGAAGCTATTCTGAGAGGGAAATGTTGAAAAATCACATGGACATTTCAGGGTACATGCCCAAAAACTTGACAGATTCATTACTTTTTTTGTTTTTTACAGAGGTCAATCTCAAGGATTTCTCTCTGTCAGGCAAGCACTTTACCACAGAGTTACATCTCCAGTCCCATCTTTTAATTTACACATACACACATATAGATGCATACACCTATACACATTATAAATATGCACACATATACACATGAACACATGCAATATATACACACACACATATACATACATATACACACATGAACACGTACATAAAAGTATACAATTGTGCACACATGTATACATATACATAGACACATGTACACACATATACATATATACATGTACAGGTACACGTATGTGCATACACATACACTCACATATGTACAAGTGACTTTTTAATTGCTTGCCTGGGATTGTAACTGTGTGGTAGAATGCTTGCTTAGCATGTATAAGTCCCTGAGTCCAATCTCCAGAAACACATGCGCACATATGTACACATGCAAGCGCATGTACACACACACACACATACACACACACACACACAATCACTTGGGTGTCCAGATGTACTATATTAGGAGTTTTTCTGTGTAGACTGATATAATGTCTCCCTCTCTGTGTCACTTCTTTACTTTTCTTTGAAATTCCAGTCTGATGTTATCACAGCGGACATGGTGTAATATCTCCTTTTCTGTCTTCCTCCTCTCCTTCTTCCTTTTCCTTCTCCCTCCCCTTCCTTTTTCTGAAACTACAGTCAGATGTTATCTTTGAGGTGAGGTCATGTGGCTGCCACTTTGAATAGAGGTCAAAGTGCTCAGAACACTCCTCAGCGGATCTGTAAAGACATAAAAGTTGCCCTTTCAAGACCTTTCGATGGTTCTGGGCTGCCATCTGTTTCTGCCCACACTTTAACTTCTTCCAATCTGCCTGTTATTGCAGGTAATGGGACTTCTGACCAACCACGGTGGGGTACCGCACCAGCCTCAGACCGACTATGCTCTCTCCCCTCTCACTGGGGGCCTGGAACCCACGACCACGGTGTCAGCCAGCTGCAGTCAGAGACTGGAACATATGAAGAATGTGGACAGCCTGCCCACATCTCAGCCCTATTGTCCCCCCACCTATAGCACCACAGGCTACAGTATGGACCCTGTCACAGGCTACCAGTATGGGCAGTATGGACAAAGTAAGCCTTGGACGTTCTAGGGGGTAGTTCCTCCTGGAAGGGAGAGAGATCACTCTTGTCTTCGGAAGGGGACTGAAGGCATGAGTAAGCCTTTCATCCCAGCATCAGATTTGTGGCAAAGCCAGCTGACTGCTACAGCTCAGGCTCCCTTGTGTAATTATTTTCTTAACTGATGTCAATAACATCTTGCAGTTATTAATTGCTGGGACGTAAAGCCGGATTGTCAGTAGGTAAAACACAGAGGTTGGCCAAAATGAAATAACCTCTGGCATTAGAAACACATGTTCTTAATGAGGTCAGCGCCAGGATCGTATGGGGATAAGCCCGGGACACAGAGTTGTGTCAAACTTGTCTCAGGAATAAAAATATTAGTCTCGATCCTTTGATACCGTGGTATTAAATATGACATTGTCAGCCTGTAGCTGATCTTGCCCCTAACTGTGAATTGTCCCAGCATGACCTAAAAAGCTGCGTGTGTTTCCTTACAGGTGCCTTTCATTATCTCAAGCCAGATATTGCGTAAGTGAACTGTCCACTTGGAGCTAAACTGGCCCTGTTTCCGGCCTCCACAGACTAGACATGAAGAATCTTCTCAGAAACAAAACAAAACAAAACAAAACAAAAAAACAAACAAAAATAAATAAATAAAATAAAAAATCAGCCTTTGGGGGAGGTGGAGACAAAAGAAAACAATGGATTTTCTTTCTCCAGTAGTTGGTTTCAGATTCTTTGAACTAATTGGACAAAGGCAGTGGAGATGAGGAAGACCCACAGCTATAAAACGTACCATTTTAAGGCAGTGATGTAACCTGGCTACATATCAAAATGTCCCCAACTCTTTGTTATTGATCAAGAAGCTAAAACATTGCATTTGTGTGTGTGTGTGTGAGAGAGAGAGAGTGTGTGGTGTGTGCACATGAGAGAGAGACAGAGAGAGATGTCCCCATATATCACAACTGAATTCTTGAAATTGAACAGGTTTGATGTCCAAGGCTGCCCAAGTTTATCACATTCACACTGCTTTCGTAATGAATTGGGAATGGAGGAATCCTTGACTTTGACACACTGGAACCTGATATGAAAATCAACACCACCATTTCATAGGAAGCCAGACTAGATGTGAAGGATCTCCCCAATAAATTATTACCATACCCTCGTTTGTAACTTAGTTGTCAATCAATGTCCCAGATATGCCTTGTAAAAGGATGTGGGATGAGGAGGAAAATCGTGTTTTCTGCTGTGGGGATGGATGGATGGTGTTTCCTTCCCAAGACACATTCATTTGGAAGCCAGTCTGGGTGGGGGGAAGGGCATGATGGAGAAGAAGTGTCATCGCCTATCACCTCTCTGCTTCTCAGCGTGCAATACTGTGTACCTCACCGATGCTTTGGCCATGGCCAAGGTGATAGTAATGAAATAAGAACTATATTTTTGCAGGCGTTTTTATTTTTGCAGCCTGTAACTCATCATGGTAGAATGCAGTGATTACTTGTTCATTGCCAAATCACCAGTGCCCTGACCTGCTTGCTCCTTTTGCTCAGAGACCACGCCCAAGATTTATGCTTTCTACAGTGATGCCGTTTACATTCGCCTCTTTTCTACGAAAGGCAGGGCGAGAACAGAAATGTCCACGTGGCTCTCTTGTACTTTTAAATTATACAATGATACCTAATATTAAAGGATGATAGGGAACAGAGGTTTACATACATTTACGGGGTGACAGTTAGGATGTCAATAAATCTGTATTTTGAAATGTTAAGAGGAAAAAGGTGGGAGGTGCTGTTATTTATTTCTTTCTGTTCCTGGAACCATGAATGAGATAGGCACAAATACATTCCCTTTAGACTTAAGAACAATGAGGTAGTTCATTAGTGGGACTAGACATAGACCTGAGCTATTTTATATGTTGGGCGAGGGTGATGGAACAGGAGACATAGTATCTTTGTGTTGCAGCCCCAGCCAACAATGATGTGTTGTAAAAATGTCTTTCATGTAAAAAGTGCAGTAAATATTTACTATTTATAATGAATAAACAGTTAATGAAAATGTGTCCCCAATTTTTTTGAAACTGGTGACTGTAGAACAAATCAGAAAGATGCCCAAGGGGAACACCTCCTGCTGGTCCCTTGTTAACAGGACTGTGACACAGACAAAAAAGTTATATATAGACACAAGATGCCGTTGTAAACAAAAGACTTTTAGCAGCTCCTTTTATCCTTGGAAGAAATTGGCACTGCTCGTTTCTTTTATTGTTTTCCTTTCTGTCTCCTTCCATGGTATTTCCCACTTCTCCTCCCTTCCTCCCTCCTTCCCACATTTATGCCATGAGAGTCTAGATATGTCAGCCATAACTAGACATTGCTATTGTGACAGCACAAAGTGATGAGGCAGAGGGGTGAATGTGTTGTTTCAATACATCCTGACAATTATTATTATGAGGGAGTTAATCACAACATCCATGGAAGCTCTTATATTGAATTATTCCTCCCAATGTCTCATGTAATGCCATTTCACATGTGCAACAGCCATATATGGCCAGAAATTGCTGGATTGGGTAACATTGCTGTAGAACATTCTGCAAATTTCCTGCAGAGAGAGTTCTGTCGGTCAGCTGACCTAAAGCAAGTAGGATTTCAAGCATCCCAAAGATTTGATATACAGTGGGTAAAAATTTCCAAATTAAAAAAAATCCCTATTCTCTTTTTAGCTTCCACTTGTCCTTTTGATACACCGTGTTGTTCTTTTTTTCCTGACAGTTATCTTTTCAAAAAATAATGAAGTCGTAGGGAAGGATGATAATTGTCACTGAATGCTTAACTTTGATCAGTTCTCACAGAAATTCTGTGAGGTAGACGCCATTAGCCCTACTTACAGATGAGTGGATTCATGCCCAGAGTTGTTAAATAGTTGGGCCACACCACATGTAAGACCAGCAGACACAGAGCTCAGTGACTACCAAACATTGTGGTGAAAGCTCTATAATTTTACTTCGCCAAATGCAGCCTCAAATGCCCATTTCATTATGTCAACCTATTCTTGTGCCAAACCCAAGTTGAAAACAGGCATCAAAAAAAGTAATTCATTCTCAATGCACAAAAAAACGTGCTGCCAGGACTCGGATTTCACAACAGAAGCTGCCCTTCCCGGAGCCCTTTGCTTTCTGCCTCTCAACCTTAGGACCTGCCTTGTGGGGTCTGGCTGTCTTTCTGATATCTTTCTTTATGCCCTTCTCTTATTTCTGGATGTCTCCGAAGCTATTGCTCTGCTGGCGGCTCTCATGTTCAAAGTTGCTATAGATCTTTCTTCCCCTCATTTTTATTTTCATCTACTCAATCTCCCGGAAAATGAACACCTGACTTCTCCCCTGGGCTGGAGTCTCTACTCTTATCTTCTGGGACCAGAGACAGAGAGGACTCTGAACCCTTGACATTTAACCAAGCTTGACCCTGCTTATCTGTGACATTCCCTCTTGATCATGATATCATTCACATGCATTTGAAGGCTAAGAATGAAAACTACAAATCAGAATTAAAGATTGTGAAATTGTAGTCATCCTGTGATCATCCATAAGCAGCTTCACTAGTAATAGGCATCATATTTCACAAATATATTCTTCTTCTAATTAATTCAATTTGGAGGTACACACACACACACAGACACATTGAAGCACAATCGAAAGGAATGCTTATTTATACTGGCATACAGAAGCAAGGTAATGGACAAGGCCACTGGTTCATGGTTGTGAGTTTATAAGTGGAGGAGAGGATGGGTGAATGAGTGATCTGTGTGGACCAGGCATGGAAGAATCTGTTCTCACATTGCATCACTTAGAGTCAAAATTAGTTCATAGAACCAGAAACAGGGTTTCTATAGAAGGAAACTGACTCTGGGGATAAAGAATTGGGCCTCAGTTATTCCAAGTGAATGTTTTTTTGGTGTGCAACCACTCATGATTAAACAGAGCTAACGTTACACAAGAAACAGCACTAGTGCCAGGAGGCAGGACTTTTGATAGACTCTGGCTGTGGACAAGCATTGATGTCCGTGAAGGTTAGCACTGGATGAGAAGTGTGAGGGAGATGGGAGAGATAGGGTTTGCCTGGTGCTTCTCACTGAACAGTGGGGATCTAAACCACACTTACCTTTTCCATGAGCACTCTCAGTATTGCTGAACACTGCATCTCAGGAGCTCAGCACCAAGTCTCACCCATAATAGTCACCCAAACCCACTTGCTGAATAAATAAGTGAAGAATGAAGAGTGACTCTCCTGTTCTTTTCTACTTGATCTTCAGCCAAGGGGAAATTTGGCTCATGCAGGATCAACAGCTCAAGGATGGATTGGTACAAAGATCAAGGGAAGAAGTGGGAGACAGGGCACTAATGAGTCAGTAGATGCTCTGTTATAGCATTTCTGATGGACATTGAGGGTACTAGGAGGAAATTTGTTGGCTTTACCACCGAGAAGCTTAGAATTTAAGTGGAAAAATTCAATTGGCTCAGTTGGTTTATTGTTTAGACAAGTGGTTCTATTCGGACTGAGTGGTATAGTAATCTGTGGAATTGAAAGAAACACACACACACACACACACGCGTGGAAGGAGAGAGAGACACACACACACACACAGAGACAGAGAGAGAGACACACACAGAGAGAGACACACACAGAGAGCTACCCATAGGTTCATCTTTGACTACAGTGAAGCCTTGAAGCCTCACCCACATCTGACCAGGTACATTTACCCTGGCACACCTGATATGGTAAAGTCACTTTGGAATATGAAGACACATGAATCTTACCTTCTTCATTTCTCCTCTTAAGTCAGAAAGCATGATCTGGAGATTCAAATGGTCAGGATGGTGCCTGAGATGTGTGGTAGAGTTAGATGGCCGAGGGAGCCAATCTTTCACACCACAGCCTTTTCAGCAAGAAGCTTACAAAGCTTATTCCTTAGATACGAGTCCTGCTTGGCTTCTTTTCCATGAGGTGTAGGGGTATCTGGTTCACGAGATTCTTGTGACTCCATGGTATTCTGGAGAGCTCTGAGTACACAATTGTTGTGTTAACCTGGCTCCCCAACCCCATGTAGCCCATGGCTCATACAATGCCTGAGCCTCCCGAAGGATCCTGCCCATGCTGGGTCATTTTACTAGTTGAGTGCTATGGGAGACAGACAGTGGCTTCTATTTCCCAATTATTGATCAATATGCTGTGTATTTACTGAGCTCCTAATCAATGCTGGGAGGTGGGGCTTCAATACAAAAAAGACAGTTCCTGCTGTCAGAAGATTCCAGGGTAGAATGAGCCAGGTCATTAAGAGGGACTCACATGGAAGGGGAAATAGTTAAGATCTCCTGGGTAAACTTGGAGGAGAGAATAGAAGAAAGGGGATGGGGGATGGGGACATGAGGGACTGAGAAGACCAAGTTGAGGGAGGGATGGAGGGGGAGAGCAATGAAAGAGATATCTTGATAGAGGAAGCCATTATGGGGTTAGGAAGAAATCTGGTGCTAGAGAAATTCCCAGGAATCCACAAGGATGACTCCAGTTAAGACTCCTAGCAATAGTGGAGAGGGTACCTGAAGGGGCCTTCCCCTTTAATCAGATTAGTGACGACCCTAATCGTCATCACAGAACCTACATCCAGTAACTGATGGAAGCAGATTCAGTGACCCACAGCCAAGCACTGGGCTGAGCTCTTGGAGCCTGGTTGAAGAGAGGGAGGAGGAATCATATGAACAAGGGTGGGGAGGTCAAGATCATAATGAGGAAACCACAGAGACAGTTGACCTGAGCTAATGGGCGCTCATGGATTATGGACTGATAGTTGGGGAACCTGCATGGAACCAAACTAGGCCCTCTGAATGTGGGTGATAGCTATGTGGTGTGATCTGTTAGTGGGGGGCCTGGCAGTCGGACCAGGACCTATCTCGGGTATATTAACTGGCTTTTTGGAGCCCATCCCTACGGTGGGATACCTTGCTCAGCCTTGATGGAGGGTCCTGCCTCAATGTGGTATGCCAGACTTTGTTGACTCCCCAAAGAAGGAAGACCTTACCTCCTCTGAAGAGTGGACAGGGGTGGGAAGGGGGAAAGTGGGGGGGGACAGGAGAAGGGGAGGGAAGGGAAACTGGAGTTAGTATGTAAAATGAAAAAAATTATAAAAAAGTAAGCCAGATTAGTCAAAGTAATTGGGACACAAAGTAATACATGAGCAATAGCTTATATGGGGAACCAAGGGGAAACTAAAACTCCACCAGACACTGGAATGCTTTTCAGAGAAACTGTTCTTGAGGCTGGATCTCTAAGAGTAAATCAGAAAGGACTTGGGCAGGTGCAGTGACAAAGGACAGGATCTGTTTTTACATCCAGCCAGCTTCTGCATCTCCAGACAAAGAAAACCAGGGAAATCAGACAGGGGCTGAGCCTTCCATACTCGCTAGGAAGGGGAGTCTATAGCCAGAGTGCTGTGAAAATCCATAGTGGCTCAGACTCTTAGGATCTCAGATAAGGTAAGGTGGGGTGCCTCTTTCCTAATGAATCTACTTTGATCCAAAGGGCAGACAGTGATACAGGAGGAAGGAACATATATGTGTGTGCTATCATTATCGCCATCCTAAGATGAGATGTAACACTGACTCATCATGGACCAGCTGCACTTTCATTGATGAGGAACTCTGCTGGAGCTTTCCAAGCTGCACCCTGTCACCCCTGGCATTTGCTTGCAACAATGCAATGTCCTTCCTCACCTCTTGCTCCAGGTTGATCAACATAAGCCATCCTTACCAATTATCTAGTTGTGGAGACTTGCCTGTCAGCCTTTATACTCAATACTCAATCTTGCCGAGTTAAGATAAAGTTTTCTTTCTTTCTTTCTTTCTTTCTTTCTTTCTTTCTTTCTTTCTTTCTTTCTTTCTTTCTTTCTTTCTTTCTTTCTTTCTTTCCTTCCTTCCTTCCTTCTCTCCTTCCTTCCTTTATCTTTATTTTTTTTGAAGTACAACTTTACATTTTCTTTTGGAACAAACTGTACCTGTCTTCACTGCTCAT